CCTATTGGAGCCATCCTGTCCTGTTTTTGTAAATGTTTTGATATTGTCTGCTGTCTTTGGGGCATTCAGTAGTTATTTTTCTCATTTATTTATTGTAGATTTGTTTGTTTTGTCCCTTTTGTTTTATTTGGCTATGTCTAAGCAGGTGAGCTGTGTGTTCTTTGTTGTTTGCTTATCTGTGGACACGGTAATTTTCACCTCCTTCTCAATTGGCAGGGTCAGTTGCTCAGATATGATACAGCAGGGCATGTAGAAATTGCTGGGACAGGTTGTTTGTGGCACTTACTACAGCCACAAGGGCGGGTCAGTAATCAGTGCAGGGCAGGTTCCAGTAGGCCATGGCTGTGCTGCTTGGTAGTGTGATGTTAAGCACATGATGCAGGTAGGCAGGATCTAGGGGGGAGATTGTTATGTGTGGAGCTAAGATGGATATGGGAGAGAAGGAGAGAGGAACAGGAGCCATAAACCTATAAACAAACAAAAAAGAATGCTAGGGGAGCTTGCCATTGGAGTGGAGAGATGAGAGACTATGAAATGGAGAAAAAAAAAGGGGAAGAAGAAGAAAAAAAAGAAAAGAAAAGAACGAATAAATAAAAATCAAAAGGAAAAAGAACAACAAAGCTCCCAGGGATCCCACCGGTGTGGCTATGAGGTCTGGGGAAGTTGTTCTCAGTTGTTGCAGTACAGCCTGGCTAGAAGGCATAGAGATATTCAGTGCTAGGTATTCAGGGAACAGAAAGAGAAGGAAGGTATAGAGAGATGATAAACTGAGTAATGAAGAAAGACAAAAAAAGGAAAAAGAGGCAAAAGAAAACAAAACAAATTTAAAAAAAAAAAAAAGAACAAGAAAAGCCTCCCAAAAACAGGAAAAAGAAAGAAACCCACAAATAAAGAAATGCCCTCAGAGATCTCTCTGCATGTCTGCACAAGCCTAGGGGGTAGGTTCCAAGCGCGCAGCACCACACGGCCAGAATGGGCTCCCAACTTAAGAAAAGGAGAAGAGAACAAACAATTCAAAACAAACAAACAAACAAAATCCCTGGGATCCCACCAGCGTTGCAGCCCAGACCGGGAAGCCGTTTCACACTCGAACAGAGCTCCACGGCCCCTCAGGAAGAAGCAAAGTTGATGCACAGAGCCAGGTATTTGAGTGAAAGGAGGGGGAGGTAGTGAGAGGTAAGGAAGAAATCAAAAGAAGCAGAAAAAAAGCAATACCAACAGCCAACAAATGGCACTCAGAGAGCCAGCCACTGAGAGCAGGTGGAATCCAAGCAGCCGGTGCTTCCCAGACAACAGACTGTGGTTGAGGGAAGCAGAGGAAGCCGAGTGGCGGTGAAGAAGGGTTGGGGGTGAGTAAACGTACACCGCAAATTACCAGTTGTTTTGTCTCCTGCTGGAAGCTCCGTGAAGCTGCTTTCTCGTACCCCCTGTTTGCTGGTCTCCAATAGGAGTCCAAGATGGCGAATCCATGCTGTATTAGCTGATAAGGGACCTCTGCATGAATCTCTCCTCGCTCTCCTTTCTCTGTCAGTTTTCTCACTCCATTTGGTGCTTGGCTGAGTTCTTTATCTCTTCATTTGATGTTTTAGGTTTTCAGGATTGTTATTTTCTCTCTTCGGCTTAGTTTTTCGGATCTTTGCTGTGGAGGGATGGCGTGGTGCTTCTGCCTAGAGAGCCATTTTGCCAGAAGTGCTCTCTTTGCTTATTATTAACATTTTAACAATATTAAGTCTTCCAATTCATGACCATGGAATATCTTTCCATTCATTTTGGTCTTCTTTAAATTATTTCAGGAATTTTCCATAGTTTCCAATGTAAGGGTCTTTTACCTCCCTGGTTAAATTTGTTTTTTTAAGTATTTTATTCCTTTAGATGTTACTGTAAATGAATTTTTTAAATTTCCTTTTCAAGTTGTTCATTGCTAGTGTATACAAACACAACTAACTTTTGAGTGTTAATGTTGTACCCTGAAACTTTACTAAATTTGTTTACTTGTTCTAGTAGTTGTATGTGTGTGTGTGCGTGTGTGCGTGTTCTTCCTATGTATAGAATCATGCCATTTGCAAATAGAGATAAGTGTACTTCTTGCTTTACAACTTGGATGCCTTCTATTTTGTTTTCTTGCCTAAGTACTCTGGCTAGACTGTCTAGTACAATCTTGAATAGCACTGGTCAAAGCAAATGTCTTTGTCTTGTTCCTGATCTTAAGAATGAAGCTTTTAGTCTTTTACCAATGAATATGTTAACCGTGGGTTTTAAGTAAATGCAAGTGGAGGGATTTTTTCAGTTCCTGGTTTTCTGTGATTTGTTTGTTTATTTGTTTGGGTCATAAAACTGTGTTGAATTTTCTTAAATGCCTTTTCTGCATCAATTGAAATTATTAGTTATTTTTCCATCTTTGTTCTATTAATGTGGGATATTACATTGACTGATTTTGTTATATTGAATTATTCTTGCATCCCTATGATAAATTCCAATCGATCATGGTGTACAATCCTTTTCATATGCTATTGGATTCAGTATGGTAACACATAATTGAGGACTTTTGCATCAATACTGGTAAGGCATATTAGTCTGTAATTATCTTTACTTGTGGTGTCTTTATCTGGCATTGGTATAAGGGTGATGCTGGCCTATTAGTTAAATCTTCTATGCATATTTGTTCAACCTCTTGATTGTTTACAACAATATCTGTATCTTTATTGGCATCAGGATTGTATATAGATTAATATATAGCACTGATTGAAATTTTTATCTGAGTGGAAGTATTTTAATTTCTTTAAGGTTATGTCAATAACTTAAATGATCTTTAATTTTTTATATAAATATTTCTCATTTATTAAGTTCATTTCTATATATTTTATTATCTTGTTGCTCTTTTAAGAGCAATGCTTACTTTCATATTTTATGTAAATAGAGAAATTATTCATTTTTACATATTAATTGTCTATAGCGTTACTATCAAATACTTTTATTTTTGGTAATATTTCTAATGTTCTGTTATATTTTATTCAATACTATACTATTATCTGTAAGGAAACCCTTGTGGCGTAGTAGTTAAGTGCTATGGCTACTAACCAAAAGGTCGGCAGTTGGAATCCACCAGGCCCTCTTTGGAAACTCTGTGGGGCACTTCTACTCTGTCCTATAGGGTCACTATGAGTTGGAATTGACTCGATTGCCATGGGTTTGGATTTTTCTTTTGGATCATCTGTAAATATCATCTGTAGATAACAACACATATACAACTACTTGTTACATTTTCATACACTGTGTTGATATTTTATTCCTTTTATAAAAAATTTACCACAGATTTATTGCCTTAAATAAAAATACACACAATTATTTTCTTACAGTTTTAGAGGTCAGAAGACTGAAAAGGTCTTCTGGGCAAAATCGAAATGTTGGCAAGACTGCATTCTTTCTAAAGGCTCTAAGAGGGAATTCATCTTCATGCTCTTTCCAGCTTCTAGTAAATGAAAAAAGCCACTGCGATGGAGTCATCTCTGACTCATAGCAACCCTATAAGACAGAGGAGAACTGCTAAATAGGGTTTCCAAGGAGAATCTGGTGGATTCAAGCTGTCAACCGTTTGGCTAGCAGCTATAGCTTGCAGTAGCTCTTAACCACTGCTCCAGCAGGGCTCCTAAAATTATAGAATGCTTCACTAATTTGTGTGTCATCGCTGCATGGGGGCCATGCTAATTTTCTCTGTATCTTTCCAGTTTTAGTGTATGTGCTGCCAAGTGAGCACCCAGCTCTATAATATGCCCAGATTCCTTGACTCATGACCCCTTTCCATCCTTAAGGCTAGTGAGGACTGTTTGAGTGTTTCTTGTGCTGCATCACTCTGACGTTAACTCTTCTACCTCCCTCTTTCAAACTTAAAGGACTCTTGTGATTGCTTTAAGGCCCCTGGTGGAACAGATGGTTTGCATCAGTCTACTAACTTAATGGTTGGTAGTTCAAACCCACACTGCAATATTGAGGAAGAAAGGCCTGGTGATCTGCTTCCGTAAACATTACAGCCAAGAAAACCCTAGAGAACAGTTCTACTTTGTAACACATAGGGTTGCCATGTGTGGAAACTGGCTCCATGGCAATGGGCTTGATTTTGTTGGTTTGAGTGATTACATTGTGCCAATCTGTATAAGCCAGAATAATCTTATTTTAAAGTCAGCTGATTAGCAGCCTTGATTCCATCTTCATCCTTAATTCCCTTTGCCATGTAAAGGCAACATAACATATTCACAGGTTATAGGAATTCAAACATTGATATCTTTGGATGTGGGAAAGTATTACTGTGTCTAATAAAACCACTTTTTACTTTCTCTTGTCTATATTTGTTGACAGATGAATCCGATTACTGTGCCAGTCAGGCACAGTCTCCTCAAGCAGAGTAGCTTGTTAATCTTATATTGACTTTTTAGGTAGCATAGAGGTCAGGAATGTGTGGATTTTCAGGGCATAAGGGATTGACATCTGTTTTAGTCATATAGTGCTACTATAACAGAAATACCACAAGTGGATGGCTTTAACAAACGGAAGTTTATTTCCTCACAGTAAAGTAGGCTAGAAGTCCATATTCAGGACATCAGCTCCAGGGGAAGGCTTTCTCTCTCTGTCGGCCTTCTCATCAATCTTCCCCCAGACTAGGAGCTTCTCCACACAGGGATCCCAGGTCCAAAGGATGAGCTCTGTTCCCAGCATTGCTTTCTTTGTGGTGTGAGGTCCCACATTCTCTGCTCACTTCCCTTTCCTTTTATCTCTTGTAAGATAAAAGGTAGTGCAGGCCACACCCTAGGGAAACTCCCTTCACCTTGGGTTAAGGATGTGACCTTAGTAAGGGTGTTATGCAATCCCACCCTAATCCTCTTTAACACAAAATTACAATCACAAAATGGAGGACAACCACACAATACTGGGAATTATGGCCTAGCCAAATTGATAACACATTTTTGGCAGGACATAATTCAATCCATGACAACATCATATATAGAAATATGGTTATTCTAGTGAGACTGCCATTTATTGGTTGGCACATGGGTGCATGTTTATTAAAGTGAGTCAATCCCTGATTAGCTGACTTGCATAAGCTACAGCTGAAACTGAGTGTTTCATGAAAGCATGTTCACCAAGCCAAGTTGTCATTGGTTTAGTGAACAGTTTTAAAACCAGTTCTGGTAACTGCTTTTTACCATAGCCATAGCACAGTCTTTTTCTAATTTAGTGGACATTTTTATTCTCAGTCATCACTTTTGTTAATATGGATGACATCATCCATCATTGACCAGGTCTTCATCACTATTGTTTATTCTCTTTGTAGAAGAAGTTCCTTCTGAAGTTTTCTGGTATTTAGTTTGTGCATAAATAAGAATTACTTTATTCAGTTTTTTTCTTTGAATTTTTTTTTTCCAGAGAATAGCTTGGAAAAAGCATTGATGATTCTGAAAAACAGATATAAAACAACTGTGAAACAAACAAGTGTAGCTAGACAAATTATAAAAAAGGAATGAAGGACACTTTAGATACATGAGTCAAGATTTTTCAGGCTTGACAATCCCCCTCTTCCCCTCTTCAAAAAAAAAAAAAAAAAGAAAGAGAAAGTCTCGAGAAATCCCTGTATCTATCTTAGGCAATAGCCAGGTTGTTTTTTCTTACGAAACCATACAAAGGATGTTCACATAGAGGAAGATCAGGAAGGAGTCTGAGAAAGCCATATCTGAGAAATACTTGGAGATATTAAAAGCATGGAGTCAAAGCTGAAGAAGGTTTTAAGAAGGAAGGCGAGATCAAGAGTGTCAATTTTTGTGAGGACAATTTGCAAGAATTGGTGACATCACATAAGTTATCATACTATGCAAAGGGGCAGTGTACCAAGTAGCAAGTCTATCATTGCATTGAGCTTTTAACCCAGGAATTTGTAATCTTTTACACTAGGATTAATTCAGAATCCTCTTCATAAATGAGTGGACCAATGCAACTACTGAATATATATTGGTGACTACTATTTTTAAACAAAAATTAAACAGTGGTCTGAGTTATATGAATAAATTCCAACATTCAATAACATTTACACATGTATTTATTCATTCTTCATTTGTTGGTATACTTATACAAATAATACTTTAAGAACCATTCCTTAGCATCCACTTTATTCCATATTTTTATTAAATTCTTCTGGTGGGTATTTTTTTGAAAGGCAGTTTCATAGCTGCCTTCAACTAAGAAAAGTTTTCCTTGAGTTCATGTAAGTGAGGTTCTTTTAACTTACAATGTGATCTAATGATTCCGCATCCTGATCATTTCATGCAAAAGGGAATTCATTCTTTAAAAATTAGAAACCGCCATTTAATCTAATTTTCTTAGAAATACTCGTTACAAACATATAAACTCCATTTTTCCAGGATTTATTAAATCCCCATCCTTTTCTACACTTTTATCACATCTCATAATGCAAGACTGACTTGGTTATTATCTCTTTCATTTGGCCACACCTTCTGCCACTGAGTAATATCCAACGTGAAAACCAAAAAAAAAAAAAAAAAAAAAAAAAAACTCGTTGCCTTCGAGTTGATTAGGACTCATAGTAACCCTATAGGACAGGGTAGTAGAACTGCTCTATAGGTTTTCCAAGGAGAAGCTGGTGGATTTGAACTGTTGACCCTTTGGTTAGCAGCCGTAGCTCTTATCCAAAGCGAGTGGGTGGAAATTCTCTTTATCTTCTTGGTTGGCCTTATATTCTTTAGCTTCACAGTTCATTTGTGTTTTAGTTTAACACCTCCCATCCCATGGTCATGATTCCCAGTCTCCATGTTGCAGCAATTTTAAATGTACTTCTGTGAATAGCTTTAGTAGATCGCTGGGGGATAGAGAATTTTTTAACTACCAACTTTTTCTTAAAATGGGAGTCTCTTCAAGCTCTATTTAAATTACTCTCATTTTTAGAATTCTGTATTATACTAATTGTCTTCATACTTATCTGGTTATTTCACTTTAGATTATGATTTACTTTCATGTTCTTTTTTTAATTTTTAATAGGCATATTCTGCAATCTCACATACTATATACTATTCTCATATGATACATTCTCTTCTTAGATTTTTTTGTCAACCAGTGCGTCTAAGTATTCTGTGTTTGCTATTGACTTTTGGAGGCCTGGTGGCACAGTGGTTAAGAGCTATGGCTGCTAACCAAGAAGGTCAGCAGTTTAAATCCACCAGCCGCTCCTTGGAAACCTTACAGGGCAATTCTACTCTGTCCTATAGGGTCGCTATGAGTCGAAATCAACTCAATGGCAACAGGTTTTTTTTGGTTTTGGTTACTTAATTTTAAACCTTTGTGTCTATGTGCATACTAATCTCTCTTATAAATTGCAGATGCTAATAAACGACTACTTGCTAGACATTTACAATATTAAAAATCTAATATATATATAAAAACCTTTTGTATATAATATAAAACTTTTAATTCAGAAGCTTTATGACATATATGAGCTATTAACAACGTATGTAAGAAATGTATAAAATCACATATCCACTAAAGTATTTCTAAAAATTAATGACCTTATTTTACAATGCTACTTGTTAGCATAATGAATTGTCATTCTTCTAGTAGAGAACTTATCAGATAAATTTATTATGTATATCATTTTCATTTTAAAAATTGATAGACATTTTCATATTTATTTTCCTTATGCACTTTAACAGACTTCCTGAATTTCCAAATAATCTTTGTCAATTTCAGACAAACTTATTTCTACATATAAGTTTTATGAGAATTGTTAATGTGTATGTAATTGGTTTAACAGAACTTAAAATTCATTTAATTTATAATTCACTTAACAATGGTTTTCTGCACTATGAAACATACTTTGATGTGGGAATATAAATAAATTTGATATTAAGAAAAGAAATTGCCACTTTAGAAGTTAACCATTTAAAATACTTCTCTCAAAACAATGCAAAAATATGCCTAAACCAATAAAAAAGCGTTGGTATCAGTACCTATGACTTGGATTATTGTGAAAACAATGGGGGTTCTGCTTCTGAAACAAGTAGAATGAAAGATTAGAAAGTTCAGAGTATGTGCCTAGAAAATGTCAGAAAAAAATATATATGTATTGATATGAGAGAGAGAGAGAGAGAAAGAGATTTGTGGCAAGGAAACAACTCATGTGGTTACAGAGGCTGGCAAACCCCAAGTCCATGGGTCAGGCCTACGGGACAGAGTAGAACTGCCCCATCGGGTTCCAAGGCTGTAATCTTTATGGAAGCAGACTGCCACATCTTTCTCCCCCAGAGTGGCTGATGGGTTTGAACCACTGACCTTTTGGTTAGCAGCCAGGATTTTAACCAGTGCACGACCAAGGCTCATTTAGGCAACAGATATATGCAAAATTTCAACTCTGATAATTTCTTGTAATCATTATACTTAAATATGTTGATGACCACTGTTGATAAAATATGAGAACCTGTCACATAAAGTATCCTAGAAGAAAACTTTATAAAGCCATATACTATCATACAATATGTTTAAGGTAAACTATCAGATGACACTCTATGCTTTTTTGTAATAAGATTCAAGCAAGAAATAGCTTCATCAATTACCTATTCTGATATCAATCTTGAAGAAGTGATAGTCCTATATAAATCTTAGCTGGAATATCACTTGCCTCAATGTAAGATTATTACTGATTCTATCATACTTAGGACATATCAAATTGATCATAATTTTTTTTCAGTACAGCTAAAT